AATATAACAGAGAAAGAAAGATATGTTATCTAAAGTTATTACATTTATTTCGATACTGAAAAAAAACATCTCGGTGGTACTAGGGACACATTACAGTTTATGTATAATACAACCCTCTAGAATTCATTGTGAATATTTTGCTTCTTTATTACAATGTGTATGATTATATTTTGAAACTTAAGTATTTATAGTTCTAGAATATTCGCCTCATAGAAAGTAGTCTTTAATTTTTTTTCATAATTATATAAATACATTTGGTTATATTCCCATTTTGTAATTTACTTATGTATTTTTGTTTTATTTGTAACTAAGGGATGCAATGGAATCGAAACCATATTCACATGCATTTATTCATGAATTAGATCAGTAAGTAAACTGGAAGTTTTTTTTTTAAATATTTTCATCATTATCATACATGTTTATTTGTTGATGGGTATTTCTCCATGATCATTTAATGTATATGAACATGTGCCAATGTGTACTGTGTAAGAATATGCACAAAATGTGTTTTATGATTCAACATGATTTTCTTGTCTATTCATAGAATTCTACAATTGAAAGCTTTGGAAAGACTGCTTAGGTTGTACATGAGACATATTTTTCTATACCTAAGATGTAATTATTACTGTTGCAGTGAGAAATTATAGGTCAGAGCACTGTTGATAGTTAATGATATCTATTGATATTTATTGAATATGTTCTGTTAGTATTTGTGATACATGATTTGCAAAGTATTGGCAAGTTTATGAGAATATAAGGTTACATGCACTGATATATGCTCCATCTAGGTTTCAGATATAATGTGCCTTTTATTGTGTTTTGTAGCTAGATAAGAAGTATCTGTTAGCCCTGTATAGAATGAATAAAAGTTTTCATGTTGATTTGTAGACACTAATGCTATTTTCTTCATAGCATTGTTTCCTATATATGTGTTTTTCTCTTTTTATTTCTCTTTTTTTCTAGGAAGGAAAGGGTATTCTTGAAACATGGTGAAACAGACTTTGTTGGTGTTTCAGATTTTTAAATTATCAATGTATTTTCATATATCCAGAAAAAAGGATTTTGTTGTATATAATATGGTTATGGAACCAATGTGATATTTTAATGAACAAAGAACACGAAAGATTGCATTGCAAATGGTAGGTTTTTATGCACATGGTTGATAATTAATGATGTTGTGATGGCATTGTTATCTATGTTGAAGATCTTTAATTTCTTTCATTCAGAATAGCTTTTGTGAATTACAAATATTGCAAGCTGCCTTTGAAAGGGAAACATCACAATTGCATCAAAACACTTAAATATAAAAGAAAATAAATATCATAAGGAAAATATATGCCAACATTATAAGTGTGACAGAATAGACAACCGTATGTTTGTAGTGAAATGATGTAAAGAAACACAGATAGTTTATTTTTTCTGATGTAGGCAATGAAGAAATTTGTTAATAAATTTTGAAAATGTAGGTGGTGGTTAAATAAACTGTACACCGATGACAAAGCCTTTCTGTTGTTTTCCCTCAGCTTCTATATTTTATATATTTTTTTCTCTCAAGCACGTGTGATTGTCAAGAAATATACAAATTAAAAAAAATTGATATATATTGTAGTCTTTCATACATTCTTCCAAATACATTCGAACTAGAATACATTGTTGACTTTCAGAAAAGATTATGGCTGAAGCATCCGATTCCTAAGGCATTTCCAACAGATTTCAAATTGCACGAAATGTATCCCTCATAATACATGGACACATTCAATACAAGAATATTTCAGTAACTTTTAAGCCATTTTAAAACCAACAGCACTCTAAAATCTGTTGAATGGCAAATTATTTTTACCCAACATTTTAGTAAAGTCGAAATAGAAAGGTAACGCCACTTTTAGCTTCACAGCTCAGGGGCCGGATACTCAGAACAGTATACAATGTTGTATCTCACATCGGATCCACAACAATGTCGTAAGGGCTCCGAAGCCCATACTCGAAACAAAAATAAGCGCCATGTTATGACGTCACACGTAAAGTATCTTATAACATACAACACCCCGGGAGCTCTTGTAGGGGTATCTGCACGGATATAGTAACTTAATTTCTTGGTTACATAGTCGGCATTGTCTTATATAGCCATTATTTCACCACACAGTGCATTTTTATATGTCCAACACATCGGAAATTCTTTATATTCAGTAATGACTTGCTCAGGGGGTGGGGGTTAAGGGGTGACCAATAATTACGGAAAACTGCTGTTCGTTAAGGTCTCAGTTCTATTTGCCCACCAATAAATTTCTTCCAATTTGTCGAAGATCAGCATAAAAATGTTTACTGCGTCTTTGTTTTCTATATCAGTCAATATAACAGTATAAATAACATGACTATGCTGCACGCTTTTGGTGATCCCGTCATGGTGATCATGTCTAGCAAAACCTTGATGTGAATCTCATTCGCTTTAGATGCATTTCGCGATGATTTATAACCTCAAAAGTTCTTTCGAATTTAGTTA